GCAAATCCCCACCACAAGAGAGGCACACAGCATCACAGCGAGCCAGGCATCCCCCGGGCCTCTCAGGATCCATCCAGAGGTTTGAGCTGCATGCATGTCACTAGTTGAGAGTGGACAGAACAGAGCTACCTGTACTCGTTATGCCATGACTGCTCCTCCTCAACTAGTCTTTAGTCCACCCTTGCAGCATTCACTGAGAAGAAACCACATCACTAAACCAGTTTCCCACAGTCAGATTCTGTGGGGTCGCGTTCCACGGGTGGCTGTTTTGGAAAGACACAAAGACCTCATTTCCCCAAGTGACCTTTATTGGGGGCACGCGTTTCACAGAAAGCCAAGAGTCAAGGCTGCTGTCATTATTTACATCTGCTGTTATCTTTTGTTCTTTTTTTCTTCCCATTAACTTTATGCTGAATTTATCCCTGAGCAATGTTTTTGATTTCCACCCCTCTCCCTAACCTTTAAATGCTACTGAAAATAGTTCAAAAGGACCTGCCAGGGAGATAAGCCAGTTTAGGACCTAGAACGCTCAATATGAAGGATCCAAATTCCATCCAATCCCAATTGAATCCTAGCAGGTGTTTCATTTTTAAAATTTGATTTTGGTGAACTGGCTCTAAAACTTACATGTCTAAGGGGGAAAAAGCCAAGGGATCTCAGAAGAACAAAGCTGGAAGACTAAGATCACCATGTATCCAGATAGGAGCTGCCACTATTTTTTTTTTCCTTTTTTTCTTCCTTCCTTCCTTCCTTCTTTCTTTTCACAGGCCCAGGATTGAAACCAAGGCCCTGATCAAATATGCTAGACTCATGCTCTACCATAGAGCTATAACCCAATCCTAGGAAAGATTTCTTAAACTGGAAACAAAAGCTTAAACCATAAAGGTTAATCAAAAGGCTGAAAGATTAAGTTTACATTAAGAACTTCTGATCACCAAAAGATACTACTAAAAGAATATAAGGGTAGGCGGTGGCAGGGAAGAGACATTTATAGTATACTTTACCTCAAAGAGGCCTGTCACACCTAGAATATAAAGAACTCAGACAAACTGACAAGAAGGCTGAGAACCCAAGACTCTAGAAACAGGACCTTCACCAAAGGTAAAGTATGGACAGTAAATACATGGAAAGGGGAACAACCTCAGCAAGCGGACTGAATCTTCTAAAAACTGTGAGCCGAAATAAATCTCTCCTCTGCCGAGACTTTATGGGTGCAGCCTGCTATATGGACACAGTAAGCCTTCACTGTCCAAAGCAGCTTCCCAGAGCAATGCTGATCTGTGCCAGGAGAGCAGGTGCTCAGGCCTCGAGGATGCCACCTCCAAAAGGTTCACAGGTAGTGTCCGCTTCAGGCACACATGGGTGTGGCAGCAGAGACAGCGTCTGGGTTCCTGGGCTTCAGGAGGCCAAATCCAGACTGGCAGAGAAGGCAAACAGCTCACCTACTTGAGCCCGTAGGGGTCCTCCTGGATCCGTGGAGCCCAGAAGCGCATGGCAGAGGCAGAGGTAACTATAGAAGCATTTCCTATGGCTTTCTGTATTCTATACTTGCCAGTCAGGCTATATAGCTGGCTCATTAGTTTTGCTTTAAAATATCCACGCCCTAAGGTTTCATGCTTGTGGGAGACCACTCTATTGATTACGCCCAAAGCAGGCTGTTCGCAGTACAGTGCAAGCTAGAGAGAGTCAACCCCACAACTGGCTTGTTTTGTTTTGTTTTGGGTTTTTTTTTGTTTGTTTTTTGTTTTTTGAGACAGGGTCTCACTATGTAGTTGAGACTGCCCTGGAACTCACTATGTAGCCCAGGCTGGACTCGAACTCACAGCGATCCTCCTGCCTCAGCCTCCTGAGTGATGGGATTATAGGCCTGCACCACCACACCTGGCACAACTGGCTTGTTTATAGAAGTGAGTCTGGCCAAAGCCTATGTGTCCAGGACAGAGTGACTCGCACCCAAATTCCATTCCCAAAATTAAAACCTTCTTTACTAAAAATACAAGGTAAATTATTAACCACAACCTATATCTTGTCTGTCCTGTTCCCAATTCAAGAATGCGTACCCAAAATTACCCTTCGTTACTAAAAATACAAGGTAAATTATTAACCACAACCTATATCTTGTCTGTCCTATTCCCAATTCAAGAATGCGTTGTCTCTTCCTTTACAAGCCTTGCCTGCATCAGCAACATATCCACAGCAACTCTGTAGCCCCTTTACCTCAATCTAACTGTGATGTCACCAATAAATATTGACAGCTCTGGGTGTTCAGAGCCTTTGCTTGTTCACGCCTCTGACTGTTCAAGCACAGAGTCATCCTGGCTCCCCAAGTATCTGTCTCTTTAACTTTGTCTCTATGTCTTTCTTCTCACCATGCATCCTAGCATGGAGCAGATCAGAACCCACTGCAGGGGTCTCTGGTAACTGGCACCCAACAAGGGGCATGTAGGCTTCGTCCAGACTCATTTCTATAAACAGGCCAATTGCAAGGTTAACTCTTTACAGCCTGCTCTGCTTACAGCCTACTTTGGGCATAATCAACGGGGCAGTCCCCCACACGCTTGTTAGCCTTGTGACAGTAAAGGTAGAATAACAACACGACTGACTTGGGATCTGTATCTGGTCCTTCATCTCTTTTTATCTGGCACTGTTTTCTTGCTCTGCTTTGCAGCCACTGTGTATTAAAAGCATCTGTGCTCTGCCACAGCCTTCCACCATGATGCTTCTGCCTGGGAGTCAGCTGACCATGGACTAAATCTCCTCAAATGTGAATCAAACTAAACCTCTCCTTCTTTAAGTTGTGGGTGTTGGGTATTGTGTCTCAGTGATGGGAAAGCTCACTAACACGGAAAATTGCTACCAGAGTGGGGTTGTTGCTATGACTATACCTAACCATGTGGTTCAGAACCCTTAGGGACTGATTTTCAGGAGGAGTCTAGAAAGATTTGGAGATTGTGTGCTAGAGAAGCCCTAGAATGCTGTGGGTGGGGCCTCTGTAGATATCTGCTCAGCTACTCACAGCGGAAGATAAGACTGAACCCAGTTTTTAAACAAGTAAAATGAATTTCCTATCAGCACCAGAATTATATTCTAAAAATACTTGCTTTAATGGTTTAAAACTAAATTTTCTAGGAGGGAAGGCTGTTATCCAGGGTTGAGATGTAGCTCAGTGGTAAGAGAGCACATGCTTGGCATCCATGAGACCCAAGTTTGATCTTTAGCATCACCAACAGCAAAAAAAGAATGAAAGAAAGGAAAGAAAAAAAAGAAGGAAGAGAGAGGGGTGGGGGAAGAAGCAAAGCAAAAGCAGTTATTGAATTGGGAATTAGCTTTGGATAGGCTGATATGCTGTTCACCCTTCCCAGCCTGGGTAGCTCCAGCCAGAGAAGGGTCTTGGACACTGCACTGAGACCTGCCCCCTGCTGAATGTGGGGAGGCCCCTGGGCTCAGCAGCACAGGCCCACCCAGGCAGCTCCCTACTCAAACCTGGCTGCTGGCCTCTCAGTCTGAGACTGGGGCTATACACAGTCAACGGAAATGCAAGACAATGACTCCGGGCCAGGAATTTAGGCCATTGGTTGGCCACCTCCTGCCTCACAAGTACAAGGTCCTGAGTTTGATCCCCGATTCCTGATACCACAAAAACCCACAAAGAAACAGTGACTCCAGCTACAGAATTCTATAGCCTGCAGAATAATGTTCCCTGTGCCCTGCAGAAATCAATCCTAGGGAGGGGGATGCAGTCACTTGGCCACACCTGGACCATCACCTTTTCATATCTATATAACATCTGTTCCATTATTCTCTTAGTATTTTTCTTTAACTAATTCATCTTCTTTATTTATTGGGTTTTTTCCCCCATGGTGCTGGGGATTAAACCCAGGGCCTTTGCAGTGAGCTTCATCTTAACACTACCTACCTTAAAAAATCTTTTGTATTGAGACAGGGTCTTGTTCAGGCACTAAGTTGCCCAGGCTAGGCTAGAACTTGCGATTGCCCTGCCTAAGCCTCCCAGAGTGCTGGTATTACAGGTATGTCACCACTCTATGCCCTTTTCAGTTATACTTAAAAGGAAGCTTTATGAAAGGTTAAAAAAATTCCAATAAGATAAAAACAAAACACTTAAATTAAAAGGAGAAATCTGCAAGTGTTAGGCAGTAAAGACAAGTAACAAGCTATGACTCGTTTTCAGTATCCAACAAGATTTTTTTTATACCTTTTTTTTTTT